AAATCTTGTTTCTAAACAGATATTCGTAAGCTGGCAGGGTTATTTATCCAATTTTGATTTTGATATTGAATATATTAAAGGAGAAACTAACTCTTTGCCTGACTTTTTGACCCGTGAATATTTGCAGAAATCAACAAATGACCAGTAGAGGCCAAAGAGGTCGCGGTCGTAGCCGGGGCTCTAACCCCCGCTATGATCCATCCATTAAAAAACTCCTTATAAGCTGCTTATAAGCAACTTTTCATAAAAAAGTTGATTATAACAATCTTTCCAAAATAGTTCTAAATTGTGCAGTCCCCCGTGAAATTCATTATTGAGAGGTGATTTTGAAAAGTTGGTTAATAGTTGATTTTTTTTATTTTTCTTATTTTTTGTGCGTAAAAAATATGAGAAGTGACGTGATCCAAAATGAATTTAAAGTTAAAAATTAATTTTCTTTTTTTTTTTTCTCTTTTTTGTCTTTTTTTTTTTTTCAAATGGTTTATTAATGTCCTCGATTCTCGAGTAGAAATTTACCATTGTGTTACCACTAACACAATAAAATTATTTATATAACGTGGAATGTAAACTCTTTTCCGGTGTTACATATAAATGGAAGGAAAAAAGTAATAAATAATTGTATTAAAAAAAATTTCTTATTCTCACTTGAGTATTTTAAGTTGTGTTTTCATTAAAATTGTTTGGGTAAATTACAAATATACATCTTGTCGTTACTTAAAATGCAAATTGTCTCACATGGTTTGAAAAAATATAAATATCTCATTGTAATAATTTTTTATTTATCAGAATTAATTGAAAAAAATAAAATTCCTAATTACTCTCCTATACAATAATAAAATTATCTAAACTATTTATTGAAATATTTTTGATATCTTTAAAAACTTTTTTTTTTTTTTTTAGATTGAGAAAAAAGTCTTCATTGCAAAATCGATAAAAAATCGAATCAATCTCATACTGCGATAGCAAAAGATCTTATAAAGAGATAACAAGCTTCCATAGGATGAAGAATCTTCCAAGTTTGGCATAACCTAATAAGTACACACTTTTTTTTTTTTTTATCTTTTTATCTTTTTTGAGATTCTCTTTTCTCTCTACTTGTTGCACATCTTTTCGTAAAAAGTTAAAAAGTCATCCCAAACATACTAATTTTTTTTAGCTCATATTTTAACCAAATAACTAAAAAATTACTAAATTAACCAAGTCAGAGGAATGCTAATCAATAATTTGACTTCTTCGATTGGCCCTATAGGTCAAGCCCATCTTAATAGTCTGCATCAGAGTAAAAATATATGATTTAACTATATTTTTAATTGAAAAGTTCATATTCCAAAACTATAAAATTTTATTCATAAGTTAACATCGAAACGAAATATCTAGAAATTCAGAGATAGTGGTGTGTGAAAAATAAAAAATCCCTTTGTCTATAGTTTGAGTTTTTTATACCAAATTTAATTATTATTTAAAAATTTGATATTTATTTATCAAATTTTATTGGTCATATTTTTCAAATTCAAAATACGATTTTAATATTATTTACCACCTCCACTTTATTTCACGTATAAAATAAAAAGTTTGGACAAAATATTTAGATAGTAACAACCTTTTAAATTTATATTATTAAACACATGATATATGAATTTAAATATTTTATTTTATTTTTTTAAATCTTTTAAAAATTTTACTAATTTAAAATTTTTCATTTTAAAGGTTAGCTACAATAGATTTAACTGGTAAGAAAAAAAGTCAACTACTTAAATTTTATTGTGAAATTCTATACGCACACGACATATAGGGGTGTTTTAGCCTCCGTTTGGGAAGTGGGTTGGTTTTTTGACTTTTTGACTTTTTTGACTATTTTAGTCTGGGCTTAAAAGCTTGGTTTGGGAAGGACTTTTTGGTTTTTTGACTTTTTTGACTTTTTTTTGTGAGAGAAGAATGTAATGATTATAGGTTGAATGTGATGTTTTGTTTGTTATGGCTAAAATAGCCTATTTTATTTTTTGTGGCTAAAATAGCCGAAAAAACCTACAAACCCAGTTGCCAAACACAGGCTTAGTAAGTTGATAAAAAGTTGATTTTTAGTTTTTTATTAAGTTTTTTGACTTTTTTGGAAGTGATTTAGGCTCCGTTTGGGAAGAAAAAAGTCAGGCTTTTTTGGCTAAAATAGCCACAAAAAACAAAATAGGCTATTTTAGCCACAAAAAACAAAACATCAAATCCAACCCATAATCATTACAATCCTCTCTCACAAAAAAAGTCAAAAAAGTCAAAAAGTCAAAAAACTCTTCCCAAACCAGGCTAAAATAGCCCAGGCTAAAATAGCCAAAAAGTCAAAAGTTAAAAAGCCAACCCACTTCCCAAACGGAAGCTTAGAAAATTTGTAAAAAGCTGATTTTTTTGATTTTTGATTTAATATTTTTTAAAAGTGTCGCATCACTCTAAAATGACCAAAATATCCTTACTTTTTAATTAAAAACACTTTTTTAAACTAATTAATTATAATGTTGCAAAGGGTAGTTTAGTAAATTTTTAAGTGGTTTTTTTGGGTCTTCCCAAATGGAAGGTTTGGCGTTTTGGGAAGTTGTGGTAGTGTTTGGTAGAGTTTTGTAAATGTAATTTGAGAGTATGAGTTGTATTTTGAGTTTGTGTGTTGTGGAATTATGATTTGAGTGTAGAAAATTTGTTTGGTAAAGAGTTTTGAAAATAGTTTTGGAAAAGAGGTTTGATTTGAGTGGGAAATTATTGATGTGACATTTGATATGTGATACAAAAATTTACAACTCATAACTAAACATACAATTCAAAATTATTTTAAAGCACATAAAAAATTTAAAAATTTTCAGAAAATATTTGTCCCGATTATGTAAATCAATTGCAAAAAAAAAAATAATAATAATAATCTAGAAATTAACCGGACATCCGGGTGGACATCCGGGTGGTCTACCAGGTGGTCTTCTTTTGGACAGAAAACACGCCTGTGTGCACAGAGTTCTCTGCAGAGAGTGTAGAAAATTGATTTGAAAACGGAACCAAACATCATGCGCCAAAACACACGTAGAAAATTGATTTGAGAATACAAACAAACAGAGCCGTGGCGTTTTGGAAAGGTTTGAAAAACGCAATTTTTTTATTTGTTGCCAAAACGGCATATAATCTCATTACACATTATTTATTTTGATAATATAATTAAAAGTCAATTTTCCAGTTTTTTGATTTTTTTTAAACAAAAATGTTTTAGACCACTAATTAGTGGTGGCTCTAATGATGTGGCAGTGGGTCCCACCCACTGCCACATGTGTTTTGTGCCTTGTTTTTTTTTTTTTTTTTCCAATTGCCACCTCACTAGTGGTGGGATTAGTGATGACAAATTAGTAGTATATAGCATTGCTCTTTTTTAAATTCTATTATCCCTTTATTTTTTACATATTTAAAAAAAAATATAAAGAAAAAAGAAAAATGCAAGAGGCTCTAAATATTTTATCAAATATTCTATTAAATATCTCACATGAGTGTGAGACTCAAATCATGTGAGTCGCACAATGTGAGACATTTGGTAGAATATTTACTAAATTATTTAAGGTCCCTAACATTACTCAATAAAAAAAAACTTTTAGCCTACTTTCCCAAAATTGACTAATTATTGTTAAATTTTTAGGTACGAGAGTTTGTTAAGCATCTCTCAAATAAGTGTATTTATTTAGATTATATTAACACTCTACTTTTTTACATATCTTTTTATAAAATTAAAAAATACACTAGATCATTCCAACCAACCTTTAAATTTATGAATATATAATAATTGTTTGGCCATAAACATTTGATGGAAATATAAAATTTATTTTATATATTTAAAATATATAAAATATTATATTCTAAATCAACAATATTTTCTTCCTAATTTGTTATTTTTAATGATGTGATTTAAAATTAACTTTTATATAATAAAATATTTAACAAATTAAAATTTAGGGTAAATTATAAATACATCCTTGAAGTTTGCTTAAAGTATAAATTGCCTTCTGTGGTTTGAAAAATTATAAATACCTCTTTGTTAGTATTTTTTATTTAACAGAATTAGTTAAAAAAATAAAATTCATAATTGCTCTTCTATATAATAATAAAATTACCTAAATTATTAATTGAAACATATTTCTAACATCATTAAAAATTATTAATTGACTTAATGATCTATTAATAAAAATGACGATTTGTTATGAAATTAAAAATCTCAGGGGTGAAATGTAATTTCTAAAATCATAAATAACGATTCGTATTTTAATCAAACTTCAGGAGATATATTTGTAATTTATCCTAAAATTTTAATACTTAACATATCATTAAAAATAATTTTTGAAATGATAAATTACTTGTGTCTCGACCATTTTTTCTTCTAATAAAATTTCTCATGGTAGTACTACACGTATCAATTAATATACATATTAATGTATTAATTAGTATTATGTCATTATTACTGACCCTACCTATTATACAAATTACAAATAGAATAATATTATATATATCAATTGATGTACACATTAATTTACTAACAGATGGTATGACATCATTTGTATAGTTTTGAATATTTGTAACTTGTATAATAAATATGGTTAATAATAATATCATAACACTAATTGATATACTATTTAGTGTATGTAACACTACAGTTACAAATATCCAAAACTTCTAAAATTATGTCAAATTATTTATTAGTATAATAGTTGGCAGTTTGAGAAGAAGGTTTGGAAATTTTTTTGACTATTTTAGCTATAAAAGACAAAATATATTATTTTAACCATAACAAAGAAAGCATCACATCCAACCCATAATTATTACACTATTTTCTCATAAAAATAATCAAAAAAAACTAATAAATCCTTCTCCAATTAAATTTTTTAACTCAAACTAAAATAATTAAAAAAATAAAAAAAATCAACCCTCTTCCCGAACTACCCCTAATTCTTACCATTATTCAATTGCCAAGGATTTCTTTTGCGTCACGGTCTGTTGAGTTCGTCAGTCCGTCAGCTCCAAAAAAGTACGATCGCACCCACGGGGGGGCGGCCAAGGCATCACAATGTCAAAACCACACCCCGACGATCTTCTTCTCTTTCTTCTCTCTCTCCTCCTCATCTCCCTCTCTCTCTTCTTCTCTCCTACCACTTCACCAAACCCTAATCTCCCACCTCTCTACAATGTCTCCCTCTTCTCTCTCTAACTCTCCTTCCAGCCACGCCGACTCTTCCACCAACCACCCTTCTCCGTCGCCCTCCGTCGCATCGTCTTCCTCATCTCCCTCTCGCTACTCCGACATGTGGAACTATCTCTGGATTCCTCTTCTCATCTCTTTTTCCAAGGAATTGAGTGCTGCGAAGGCTCAATCGACGATTCTCTTGCCCACCGGGACTGGCCTTGAGGAGCCGATGATGTCTCCGAGCTGTTCCGCGGCGGATCCGAAGCTCAATTTCCGGCCGGTGATCGGCATCGTCAGTCATCCTGGCGACGGAGCTTCCGGTAGGCTTAGTAATGCTACCAACGCTTCGTATATTGCTGCCTCGTATGTGAAATTCGTGGAAGCCGCTGGGGCTAGGGTTATTCCTCTTATTTATAACGAGCCTCCTGAAATTCTCTACAATGTAATCGGACTTAACTTTTACTTAATTTTGATGTGTATTGAGAACGTGATTGAATCGGTTGATCATTAGACTAGGTTAATTGAATAATCGACCCTTTTAACCTCTGTTTGGTTGCTGAGAAAATGGATGGAAATCAGGAAAGGAAAACTTGATTTAGTTATTTATTTTTTGGATAAAAGGGAGAACAAATTCGATTAATTTTTTTGCTTGCTCTTTTGGGCTAAATTGATCGGTGGTTACTTTCTTTGGAAAACCCTTTTATTTTGCCTTCCTAAATATACTCTCCGTTTTCAAACATGATAAATACAGTGAACAATTGAACGTTCAAAGGCCAATAGCATTGGATTGTTAACTTACTGTAGGATTGTCTAATGCCGAATTTGTAGATTCTTGTGCCTCTGGTGTATTGACTTTTGTAAGAACTACATTTCAGATGATAGCTTTAATTGATAAATTTATGTCAAGTAAAACATTTGTGAACTATCCATGTATTTTTCTCATAATTTAGAGCCTTTTATGGTCTATGCGCAGAGGCTTTGGTGTGCATTTTTTAAATGTGCTTGGTGAAAGGGTTTTTTTGCCTTCCTTTTGAGTTGTGTTTATGCTAATATCTACTACTGTGCTGCAGAAACTCAATCTTGTTAATGGGGTTCTCTTTACTGGAGGGTGGGCTAAAAGTGGTCGCTACTTCGACGTTATTGAGGGAATTTTTAAGGTAGTTGTCGATCTTAAACATACCACTACAGATTTATTGGAAAATGCTCTATGCAAGACATTCACTTAAATGTAGAATTGTGATTTTTTATATGCCTGGATATATGCAGCTGACACAAATTAAAAAATTCTAACCAATTTTTTATTTGCTTATGTCACGATTCAAAATGATTCATAATTGACAGTTATTTTTCTTGTTATGGGCCATTGTTTTCTCTGTTTCATACAGAAAATTTTAGAGAAGAATGATGCAGGAGACCATTTTCCTCTACTTGCTATCTGCTTAGGTTTCGAACTTTTAACAATGATTATCAGCAAGGTAAGCTACAAAAACACAGTTCACTATATTAAACGTCTATGTTTGAATTTGTTGCAATTCGCTGATCTTTCAGCTTTTATTTTTTCTGATACATCTTTTTTTTCTTCTTATTCATTAAATACCCCTAACTCTTAGCATCTTGAGAATTTTCATTTTATGACATCATAGAAACCAATTTTATTGATCTAGATACTAGATATAGAAACTTGTTTGCATTAATTGGTGCTTAACAATTGATTTGAATGTCAAGAGGACATAAAGGTACAGTGCATGTGTTATGATTTTTGGTTATGCAAACCGCTCAGTATCTATTCATTCATATGACACTGGTTGACCTGGAGCTTACAAATTCAATGGAAGGTTCTTACTACTCAATGCAACTAGAAAATAACTCAGTTCTAAGCTTGTAAAACTTTGATTTGCATGATGCTCATGCTCCACGTGTCCCAATTTTTTAGTTTATTTTTATAAGTGCATATTTTCCTTGCATTCATAGGGGTTAGGATTGCAGACAACCCTGGTGTAAACCACCCAACCCACCCAAGAAAGGAAAAAAAAAAAAGAAAAAAAGAAGAAGAAGAAGAAGAAGAAGATAAATGAACCTTAAGTTACAACTTACATGTCTAATGAATATATGTATAATATTGTTTCTTAAATGTTGTTGACTGTTGCTTACTTGAATCATTCTGGTTCTAAGAGAGTATTTTACTTCTTAGTATTATAAATTTAATATATTTTTCTTGGTATTGACATATTGTGAATGATGATAGGACAAGAACATTCTTGAATCATTTAAAGCATCAGATCAGGCATCTACACTCCAATTCATGAACGACATAAATGTGGAAGGAACAGTGTTTCAAAGGTATATGGTTTCTCATAGTTAATTCGACAAATGATGTTGATGTGATTTAGTTCGGTAATGATTTTGCTTTTGAAATGATTTGATCACTGTTTATTATTTCTTACAACTGGGCCAAATCTGAATATCCTGCAACCTGGAATTTTGAAAATCAATCCAAATATCAGCCAATTTCCATTCTAAGTCCTAAATGCTTTGTCTCCCTCTTCAAACCCTAAACCTAGAAGCTTTTCCATGGCCAAAATCCTCCACAATTACATTTGCAGAGCCTTAGTCCACATTTTCTAAAGCTGTCTTACATCAAATATGCTGACCCTCCAATTGAGATGAGGTCCTGAGGATGAAAATTACATCGATTGAAATGTGGATGAAATTATATATATTCCAACTAGTAGGTGACCCGTGTGATACACGAGAATTTATTTTTAAAATGGAAAATTAATTTTGCGTCTTATTTTAATAATTTTATACGATATTAAATTATAACATAGTAAAAGAAACACTTATTTTGATAATTTTAGCTCTATCGTACTATAAAAGTGTAATTTAAATAAATAAACATTCATTTTGATACTAAAAATAATAGTTAAATTAGAAAGAGAATTAATAATATAAAACTAAAACTTAAAGTGACTCTAATTATGTTATTTTATTTTTATTTTTATATTTATTTAGAAAATAAATATATGTAGAACTACACAAAATTTATTTAAAAGATTAAATATAAATATGTTGTGATTGGATTAAGAAGAAAATATATAAATTAAATATGTAGAGTATTGATTTTTTTCTTCTTAGTATTCTTTTTGAATTATTCATACATATTGTATATAGATATATAAAATTTAAATTAAATATAAATGTTTTCTAATAAATAATTTCATGTTAAATGAAAATTAATATTAAGACATCAATAAGATAGACAAAAAATAAAACATATAAAAGAAAATTAATTTAATTCGTGTGATGCATATAATTAAGCATATTCTATTTTATTTATTTATATATCAAGATAATTTTTTTTTTTCAAATATCATAATAATTAAATTAAATTATTAACTATATAAAAAAAATCTGACAACGACAAAACTAAATACACGATGAAAAATATATAGAAAGTAAGTGTTTCTCAAATAGAGTCTACATAAAATTGGTTATTATAATTGAAATTTAGTTTGTATAGAACTTTATATACAAATGGCAAAGGCATGCTGATGTGGCTTTTTTAGAAAAAAAGTAAGTTTTTAGAATGTGCCACCTAACAAAGGAAAAGCACTACTTATATATATATATGATTATGTTGACAGGTTATAGATTCAAACACTTTGTATCGAGGCTATTGCAATTACTTTTGGTAAGGGGTGGGGACTAGAACATTGTCATATAGTGCTATGTCATTTTACTGAAATGAAGATGAACTTGTTAAAATATTGGAATTATTTTGTTGGAGAAAAGTATATGAAACTGATATGTATTGACTGAGATGAGGACTTGAATATTATTTTGTATTGATGTTTTTTAAGATTAAATGAGGATTGACATATTTAATGCAGTTATATTGAAAGGTATGATCAGTGGATTGTTATTTATGTTTTTGTTAGTTGATTGTTATAAAATGAAAATGGCATGTACAATTTTATGGACAGAGATGAGGATTGGAATACATTGTTAATTTGTTACTCATTGATAAGCTTATTGATTAAAATATCAAAATAAATAAAGATGATGATGAAATCTATATAATTTTTTATAATACTGACAGGGTTGATGATTGGAATATTGTTACATGTTGATTTGTATTTTGATTGAAATGAAAATGAAATCCATAAATATTGCAACTATTTTGACAAGGATATCGATTGGAACATTGCTGTATGCTGATTAATCAAATTATTAGAAGTGCTGTGGGTATTTTGTTAGGGTGGGGATTGGGACAAATGGATATAGTTATGTGTTCTTTGATTGAGGGTAGGTTGAATTTTTCAATTGTATTGCAATTATTGTGACGAGGATGAATATTGGAAACTGTTATATACTTTCTTCTCTCTGATTTAGATATGGTTGTAACAATGTTATACATTGACATATGATTTTCATTTTAGTGAGGATGACATCATTATGTATTTCAATTTTATCAAAAGGGATGATGATTGGAACATTGTTACATACTATCATATCATTTTCTCAGATGAGGTCTATGTATTACAATTTTATTCATATGGTGGTGATCACAACACATTATATGTTGATACATTCTTCATTTTTTTTTCAATATTTTTCATTATAGATGCAAATATCTCAACCTTGATTTTTGTGTAGCATGAGATCATGGAACTATAGTTGCCAAAATTGTCTCAAACTTGGAATTTTTATTTATTTTTTATTTTTTATTTTTTTTAATTCACCACATAATTTTTCATTCATTAAGTGTACATTTCACTTATAAGATTTTCAATTTCATGGAGGCAAGTCAACAAAATAAATTGTCCATGTCAAAAAATGTGTTTTAAGACGTCCGAAACCATGGTAGTCCTTATGGATTTGCATGTCATTGTTATTTTTTAGTAGATTCATTTAAAGTCTATTGAGTGGGGTGACGAGGGGGAGAATAGAGATATTATGTCCTCCATGTGGTCTGTTCACAAATTAAATGGGCATTCATTTTCATTTTAATATGCATGATTGTGGTAGTAAATCCTCAGCAAGGCCTTTTTCGTTTTTGACTAGGGTTGGCTATTGGTCTCTTGAGTTGTTCTTGACTCTCAAGTTAAATATTCCTATCCTTTTGCAGGTTTCCGCCAAATTTACTTAAAAAGTTGAGTACAGATTGCCTTGTCATGCAAAACCATCAAGTGAGTTTCAAACAATTAGTAGCTTTTTCCATTTCATGTTGAACTGTACTGACTATTGTTTTCTTTTATTCTTGTGCATCCAAGGAATCTTCCAATCTTTTTCCAATTCCATTCATACCATATCGTTTTGCACAACAAGTTATCTCATGGAAACCTTACTCTATGAATAAAAAATTGGGCACTAATCACTATTATGTACCTTAGTGGATGTTTCAAGAATCCATAATGGTCCATACTTGGAAGTTTTCAGTCTTGCGACAAAGACCCTTTTCTACCTCATTTTTAATTGCCCACTCACAATGGGAGTGGAGAATACACAATCACATGGGTTGGGCCCCACTCCTATTGTGAGTAGGAGGTAAAAAATGCAGTAGAAAAATGAATTTTATGCCTAATTTGTTGTTATTAATCCTTGTCGTTCCACTCTAGCACCAATTCCTAATTTATTAAGACTTGAATGCATATAGATTATGAATTATGAAGATACAATAGAGACACAACTAGTTCTTCGTATTGTTTCTGTTCTATTTTTTCTAAACCCATATATGCCTGCTTAATCTTAGCAGGCGTACTTAGATTTGCAAAGTACATAGTAGCTGACCTTAGTGAGTTGAATTCCTTTATGCAACAGTATGGTGTATCACCAGAAAGGTTTGGAGAGTACAAGGAACTACGTAGTTTCTTCAAGGTCTTAACAACTAGTGCAGATTCAGATAATAAGGTATTGACTACGGGCAATTTGTTATATTTTATCGATTATCAATCTATATGATATTCCAGCTAAAATTTTCTCTATATGAATTATCAATTGATTATTTATTTTTATCAATAAATAAATTTGTTAAAACCTATCACCTACTTCACCCACTTAAACCTACTCTACTAAACCTAACCCACTACACCACTACCACCTCACCTACTCCACTAAACCTAACCCACTACACCACTACCACCTCCACTTCACCTACTCCTCACCTACTACACTCACCCTCTCCTATATAATGAGCCACTCACCATTTGTAATATTAATAAATATACATCAATCAATAATATCAATCAATACATAATTCATTCTCTCTGTATCTCTCTCTATCAATTTATTTTACAAAATTTTACTCTCCAATGTTTTTTTTTTCTCCCTATATATTTGAACATTCTAAATTTAGAACATTTATTTGTATCAGGTCTATGTCTCCACAGTCCATGCACACAATTATCCTGTTACTGCCTTCCAGTGGCATCCAGAGGTGAGATTCATATTTGTATTGGGAATGTGAGATTCATGATTTTGTTTATTGGATGCACTCCTATGTTGTTCATTAGCCATTATTGTCATCACTATTTTTGATCTAGTTATGTTGACCTCCTTGTGTTCTGGAAATGATGCCAACCTTTCCAGTCATTGTGGAGACTATGCTAATGGAGGGAGCTAATTAGCACATTTTTTAATTAGCTCCAATTGTTTACACTTGCTAATTAGTTAATTATATTCACTACCACACTCTCTCACTGGACCAAAGCAGCCATGGTCACTATCCACCCACTGTCGTGATCCATCACCATCCAGGCATTCACATGGTCATCACCATTCTCTCTATGAATATGTGTGTAGATAGGCCCACCAATCTGATACAAACAAGCTATTAATTTTAAATTTTTTATACCTAGCATTTAAATTTCTATTTATAATATCAAAACAATAACGATTAACACATTCTCTTTGGTCATATGTTGGGAAAGAAGGGGGAATAGAAAAATTCTGTTGTCTTATATTTTGAAGTCTCAAGTATTCACAAACAAATTGTACAATGTGAACGTTTGGGGTTCCAAATATTAAAAAGTCAGTAAGAGGGATTAATATGTATGATACCATATTATTTTTTATTAAAACTATTTTTCTTTTTTAGTTTAATCTTTAGCCTTTATTTTCATTTCTTCAGATTTGTGTCAAGACCTTAGATTTGTCTCATATGCGTTCAAACAATAGACGCTGTTTCGTACGTGTTCACGATGCATGTCCAGTTTTAAGAGGACATGTTCATGACTTGATTGGTCTTAAGACCCTCAACAGTTAAAATCCGGATACTGAAAGTCTTGTTTGGTTCTTAGAATATGATACCTAGAATTTCTTTGAGTTGAAAATTATGTACAACAATTAACCTCAAGATCTGTAGCTTTGTGGCAGTGTTGTTTGGTTCTATTTGTTCCTTCTTTATTTCTTCTTCCTCTTCTTCGCAGTTATTATTATTTCACTAATTTGCTAGTACTAGACACTAAATTGTAATGCAGACTGACCCTGCTGTACACTGCAGAAAAATGCTTTTGAATGGGGCTTATCCATGATTCCACATTCCGAAGATGCAGTTCAAGTGACTCAATATGTTGCAAACTTCTTTGTCAGGTTGGTTGGGACTGGTTTAACTTGAAAAGTTATAAATGTATTCAAAATTGAAATAGAAGAGAATAAAAAATGTATTCAAAAGTTTCCCACTTCACCTTATTTTATTGTATAAATATAAATTTGCATTTTGTATTTTTATTTATTTATTCTTGCAGTGAGGCACGGAAGTCCTTGAACAGACCGCCTGCTCGGAAAGTGCTTGACAACCTTATTTACAATTACAGTCCAACTTACTGTGGGAAGGCTGGGTAAGTCGAGAATTCCCTTGAAACTGCATGAAGTGTGTTCATATCAAATTTTTACTGACTTTGGTTTCTATATCCTCTCCTACTGCAGGAAGGGATACGATGAGGTTTACATCTTTGCTCAGCCTTCTGCTTTGTGAGTCTTTTTTTAGCTTTATTATTTGTAAAATGTACATAATCATGGCAATCCTATTATGCTTTGTTAGACTTCAAACTTCTGTGATTGTTGGATATGTAAAGAGATTCTCAAAAATTATTAAAGCAAGTTCAGTGCTTGCATTGTTGGACCATCACCATATTGTTTCTGAAACTTGTTGGGTAAATTACAAATAACCCTTGTTTAGAGATGTAAATTTAGTGTGGCATAATGAATTTATTTATATGTTTTATGCAGCATTGAGTTGTATTTGAATCTTGAATTTGTTGAGAGACCAAAAAACAAAAAAAAACAAAAAAGAGAAAAAGAGAAAAAGAAGGGGATTTGTAAATGAAATTTAGCTTATATTTCACTTAAATCCTTTTTTCTTTTTCTTTATTGCTTCCACAAATTTCGCTGGGAATTTAAGATTAAAAGATAGCTTTAATGTCTTGGGATGGAAGTTTTACTTAAATCCTTTTTTTTTTTGGGTCAACAAATTTGCTAGAAATTCAAGATCCAAACACAACTTAATGTCTTGGCATGGAATGCAATGAATGCTACATACATTCATTCTCTTATTCCAAACACAGCTTCCCTGCGACCACACCTTGTGTTTAAGCTCTTCAAATGCGTTAACGGGCAGTGTGTTTACAAAATCCGCTATGGCATTGGCACCGGTAAGCCCGATAAAACCAAGGGCGTTGTGTTTCAGGATGCATTCATACTTCCGCTCCATGATTGTACCCAGAAGCTGTTTTATCACATCATTTTTGGCTGCTCGAATGACAACAAAGGCATATCTGGGATTCTTGGGCTGAATAGGTCACCGGTTTCCTTACTAAATCAACCGATTTTCAAATCCAAAAAACGGTTCTCTTATTGCCTTCACTCAGGACTAAGCTATGTAACATTCGACAAGGACATTGCATTTTTTCTCAGGGCGAAGAAATTTCACCACAATACCATTTGTGTGGCCGAAACTTCTCCAATACCACTTAAAGTTGGTCGATATGAGTGTCAGACCAACGCAGCTGTGCCTTCCGAAGGGCTCCTTTTAGTTGAGAAAGGGGGGTGCATTATCGACTCTGGATCTCCATAAACTGTTGTTTCCAAAAAAGCTTATGAAAAAGTGATTCAAGCCTTTGCAAAGTACTATGATTGGTCAATGGGAGTGCATATGGGTTGGAACTTTGTCACAGTATAGAGGGAGGTTTGAAATGTATGCAAGCATGAGATTTCATTTTTTGGGGGCTGATTTTATAGTGAGTTGGAGAAATGTGCATGTTTTTAACCTTGAGGTAGGGTATTTGAGTGTGGCCATGGCGAGAGGAGATCGAACTGTGTTGGGTGTGTTGCAAGAGTGGGGGACGAGGTTCATATATGATCTCAATGCCAATGTATTTTAATTTCTCCGTGAGAATTGCACAACCCTGAGATTGTTTATAGGCTAAAATAGATTAAAAAAATTATTACAAATTATTTTTTCTAATTTTTTACTCAAAAAATAAAAAAACAATCAATAAAAAACAACAAGTCTCGTTAGTAAAGCACGTGCTGATCACGTGAGGATTGGAAATTACTCAAACCTAAGATTATTAGAGCTATTCATATAAAAAAAGAAGAACTACACATAGATAGGAGTTAAAAAAAAAAAATTATCAATACATAGAGAGATACAAATAACATTTTTATTTTCATAATCTTTCATTTATACTTCATTACAGGCACATTTCTTCAAACGCACTTACACTTAGGGCTGTGCAAAATACCGTCTAATCCGCATCAATTCGCACCGTTCTAATCGCTAACCGCGATTTAAACTTTAAAATTTGTAATTTGCCAACCGAACTGTTCCGCTCCGCTATAATTAATATATATATATATATATATATATATATATATTTTTTTTTTAACTTCTGATGAAATATTAATGTAAAAATAAGTGTGAGAAAGATTTAAGATATGGAATTTATTATAAATTAATGGTTATATATATAAAACATATTATATAAAATTACTTTGTGTTATATATCTAAAAAATATTATACAAATTAGTGTTATATATTATATAAATGTATGATAATTAGTTAAAATATTCTTCAATCTGTCCAAAATCGTTCAAATCACAATTTGTCAATCCATTAATTCACTAACTCGCCATTCAATTTATAATTTTATTCTCAAACTGCAAAAACTACACCGTGGACACCCCAACTTACACGGGAAATTCTATTTCTACACATTCTTTCATCTCTATATATATTATATCTCAATTTACACACTAATGAATTTAATTATATATTATTATTCTCATTCCACACACCACATATTCTAATTATAACCCTAACTCAAATCAAATACACACACCACTTAAATAGGTTCCACCCGCCTTTGAATCAAAACCCTAATTCACACACATTTCATTGATTTTCTCACTCCAATGCTTTAGTCTTCTTTCATCTCATATCTTTTCAAATTTCAGGCCACGATCTCATCAATGTTATCAACGACACAGAAGTATGCCACCAAAGCCTTGTTCGGATTGGCTGTCTACTAAGCCCAGATCCATATATTAAAAGAATAATATTGATGAATTTAATAATGATATAAATTGATTTGGATCTCGTTAAAATATATATTTGTATAATTATGAAGATTGATGATGTTAAGGGTTGTTTTAGGTGCTGATATCATTGTGGAAATTATGCAATTGGGTTCGTTGTACTTTGTTGATTAGTTGATTATGAGAAAATGTGTGGAATATAAATTTACGGGAAAGAAATAATCATCCTCGTATAATCCTGTTGATTAAGTCCACGCTCCTCCGTACGACGTCGCTTTGTTACTTGAAAACACAAACGTGAGCTAGCCGGCGGGTGTGTGCCGGAAACCTCTCCGATACCTAAGTCAGCAAACTTGACAAATAGACAAAGCTCAATGTATTCAGGAAGCAAAATTGTATGTTGTGTTACCTCCTCCAAGGTAATGTTTGTGAGCTTTTATAGATTTCGAGCGGCACAATCCCAGTAGGACTTTTATTCCTCCATGCAGAGTCCTCCTAGGATTCATACTCCTATAGGATAATGCTTATCCTTTAACACCCCTCACTGCTTAAACCAAGTGGGATGGTTTTCACCATGGCCGAACTACCATACGACCGAGATAAACCTGGCTATGCTGAGCCACAGAGTAGGCCGAACTATCCTTAGTTCGGTTCTTCCGTTTACTCTTTCCTATCTCGGTTTTCCATGTAGAACTCATGGTATGGTTTAGACCGAACCAACGATTCGCGACCGGTATAACTTCAAGTTGCTTCCAGACTGAAGTAGCTTTACAATTCCTGAGTCGAAGTAACTTCATCTCCTTTGGCCGGAGTAACTTTATCTCTCTTGGGCCGAAGTAACTTCTTGGCCCTTTTTACCCAGTCCTTCGTACTTTGGGCCATAAATTCCATCTCATAGCTCGGCCCAATTTTCACAAAAAATTACCCTCTCAATTGTCCCTTAATTCCATCTGCACAGCATGATTTGGGATTACCTGTTTACCAGCCAAGCTGAAGTTTTTTAAGCCTTTCCAACCGAACTAAAAAACCGTTTAGCCTCTCTAGCCAAGCGTATTTCACTCCGGCTCTACTCGTTCGGTCAAAACGTCTCTTCAATCACAGTGACTGTAACGTTTCACTTTCCAATGACACGTGGCAAGTTCTGATAGGCTGTGGGTAGCTGTCATGCCGCCATCGTACTACGAAAATTTTGAACAGTCCCGTCTTTTTTGCCTTTCGTCCTTTTCACAAAACAACCCCTTTGTCCATGAATCATTCATCTACCCTATCTTCTCTTTCTGTGCCTCCATTTCTTCACTTCTAAGCCCGTGCTTTTCATTGCTGTCACTGCTCCATCTCCAGTTCCCTCTTCTTCAATCTGGTAAGTAAACCCATTTTCTTCCTCTGTTTTGCTTTCGTATCTCACTTTCTATGTTTTTGCGAAACATATTTGTACATTTTTGTATTTGCTTCTGTACTTTCATGGAAAAATCAGTAGAACTCATGCGTGTATGAACTATTCTGTAGAAAACTAGTCTTGGATCCAAAATCATAGAGCAACCGAACTAGGATACTGTTAGTCTATATAGGTAGATTCCCTTAGAAAATAACCGGACTGGAGCTCGTATAAATAACAAAAGTTTCAATGAGTCACCAACTCCTGATTCACTTTAGCCGAAATAAGATCACCGAACAAAGTTTGAACATTTTAAACTAAGAACCTCGGTTAGCTTTTGGGGCTAAGCCAGCTTTCTAAGTTTCTGAACCAAAACTAAAAAGCCGCCCCTAGAGGCTCAGCCGAAGTAACAAAACTCATAGTTGAACCGATTTGGGCCTTTGGGGCTAATCCAGCTTTCTTAGTTCCTTAGACCAAACTCAAAAAGCTGCCCCTAGACTATGAACCGGTCTAGCAGAGTTTGTTCTCAAAGCCTGCGCGCCGAGATGCTCGTCAGATTTGGCTTAATAAGAACCCTGCTCAAACCGAGCTACCATGCATTTTGCTTAACCGAGATAGTACCTGCCCACGAAGCCGAAGTAGGGCTCTTTTACCTTGCTTTTAATTTGTAGCACGGTCCTATGATCTGTGCTTAACCCCCTTTGTTTTCTACTTTGCAGACTTAGGTTGCCCAGGCACTCCTCTGTGCCCCTACGCGTGCGCTCAATCGAGCTACTGACCACAACGTTTGCACCGGTCTAATTTATTAATAACTTATACGATAGATGGGGAAAGTATAGGTACCTAGTAAATATTCCGGCGGCCTAGTCGAATTCAGAAAAGACTACCAAATACCCGATGACGTTCACCTGATTCTGGCCGAAAAAGACGTCATTCCTGGATAATGAAGGCTTCGTCCCCTTCACCCTTTTATCCATTATAGAAACCGGACTACGGTTTCCAGTCCAACAATTGATCTGTGAATTCTTAGGCAAACTAGATTATGCCTACCCAACTATCCACCAATTCATACCGCATCATCATGGGAATAGCCGAACTTACCGCCAAGCCGGACTAAACCTTGGCCTGGCCGAAATCTTCCACCAATATTCAATTGGTTCAAAAGAAGATGGGTGGTCTATTATCTTAGAATACGTCGCCGCCGAGAGAAGATAATAAAATATACACCGGACAAAGACTTAAACGACACGATTTTTCTGGGTCTCTGGGAACTTTG